GGCAAAGCCACCCTCCCTCCCCGAGCTCTCTCCTCCTGGGCAGGTCTGAGCCACCATGGCCCTGCCAGAGATCAGGACCAACAGGTAGGCTTGGCAGCCTAAGTCCAGGCCAGGCCACCATCATCCCACAGCTCAGCTCTGTGTAGGAAACTGTACCAGCTGGCCCCGCCCGGTCTTGCTGTCAGCCAAAGAGCCTTCCTTGGAAAGCACCACATTCCTCTCTGTCGGAAAAATTAATCAAAATGACACCTCGTGAACAAGATGTTTTGGCTTGGCAGAAAACAAACAGTGGTTTACAACAAATGATTGAGGTTGCCCCACGCCCCTGGGCACGCGCACCAGGGGAAGGACCAGGCTGCGGGCCATGACCATTCCCAAACCAAGGGCACTTGCTGTGGTCTCCTGGGCAGTTCCAAGGCCTGAGGCCACCTGACTCAGCCCCAGCTCGCACATTCCCTTCCACATGCACCTGAAACCTCTCCAAATGGGACCCTTGGGTGCAGGCCCTGAGTGGCAGCCCGTCCTGGGACAGGTCTGGGATGAGCTCTTCTCTGGGAGCTTTACCCTCTGACGAGACCCCGAGGGGTGCTGAGGATTCCAAGGAGCACAGAGCCCAGTAGGGGACACTTTCCATGAAGATTCCTAAAGACTGAACACTTTGGCTTGGGGGGCACCCTGTGCCTACTCAGTGCTCAGTTCAAGTCTCAACAAGATAGTCCTGACCCTGAATGCCAACTGAGCTCAGTGACTCACCTTGCTAAGCAAATGCAGCCCGGTCACCCCCACTGCCGGTCACCCTCCCCCCGTCACAGCCCTCCTCAGGACTCTCTGGGGATCTCTGGGGCTCTCCACAGTATTGGCTCCTCTGCTAGGCCTCCTGCACAGTCCAGCCCTGCCCATCCCAACCCATCTCACACTGATCCCCGCCCCCACTGCAGGCCTAGTGTGTCCAGCCTCCTGCTGCTCTCAAGCACCAAGCACCAGAGGCATGGCGCCTGGGACTACAGATCTCATGGCCAGAACTTTCCGAATCCAGGCCAACTCCTACTGCTGAGCACACAGGCTTAGTCTGGCCAACTTGGTCCTAACTCAAAGCTGGCTTTTCATACCCTCCAATGCCCTGGAACCCCCCGCTGGAACCTTCTTCAGAGAGTCTTGCCATTTCCCTCTCTTCCTGTTTGGTCCCACTGCTTTCAGAGGCTCCTGATGTCTTGCATGGAATCTGAAGAGATCTTCTAGCACTCAAGGCCCCTTGGCATCTTGCCCAGGCCACTACTGGCAGTTCTGCTCTGAGGTATACAGAGATGGGATCAGCCCAGTCACTCCATTCGGAATCTCACAGACAGACCCGTGGAAGTAAGGGGGAGCGGTGCTTAGTTAAGAGCTCACAACACTGAAAGAATCAGTAATGAAAGTCTAATCCAAAGCACACCTTCAGCAGGGCACAGCACACACACAGACATGTGCACTGTGAAAATGTGTCTGCCGGAGTGTGCAAACGGGCTCTGTGTAGCACCTGGGCCCAAGGCCTGTAGTGCCAGGCTGGCTCAACCTGTGGAGTGAAGTCTTTCTCAGAGGGGAGCAGCCTAGGTTCCTTCTGAGGTGGCACAGTGCTGTGCCTGGGCACCCCTACCACAGCAGCCCTTGGTGTTGGCCCAGGCCACAGACACAGTCTACATTCAGTTCCAAGCCAATTGGGGTGGGGAATGAGGACCCCTGTACTGGGGTGGGGGAGGCTCTGGCGCACGCTCTCGCTCTCTCTCGCGCTCGCTCTCTCTCTCTCTCTCTCTCTCTCTCTCTCTCTCTCTCTCTCTCTCTCTCTCTCTTCTTCTCTCCACTCTCTCACCTGGTGGGGAGTCCCAGACCACCTACCCCACCTCATGGGCCTCTCAGTCAGCTGCAAAGCAGAAAAAGGTGGGGAGGAAAAGGTGAACTGCAGCTGGCTGGCTAAGCTTAGGAAAACCAAGGCCTAGCTTTCTCCTCCTCCTCCCCACTGTCCAGTCCCAGGTAGAGCAACACAGGCCGGGTAAGAAACACCTCGAAGGCCCTGCCACAGCTCCAGGGGTGGAGGCTGAGGCCTCCCTCTCCTGGGGAGCACACTCACATTCCAGGCAAGGACCCCTGCCTAAGCCACAGGTCCTCCCTGCTGCCAGGAACCCGCCAGGCAGGGAGATGGGGTTGGGCTGCTAGACTCAGGATCCTCACTGTTTGCACCTGAAACAGTCTTGGGGGGCAGAGTCCTGGGGGAGGGCAGAAATCAAAGTTCTATGAACCCCTTCCTGCCTGCTCAATCTAGCGGTGCACCAGCTACAGAGGGGCAGGTGACGGTGACCCACCCAGGAAAAGGTGTCTACCAGAGCAGGCACAGGGGCTACATGAAACCCTGGCTTTGGGAGAATCTGGATGGAAGAAACAACCTCAAGGAGGTCCACAGGAACCCTCACCTCTGCAGCAGCAGGCCCAGTGGTCAGATGGTCACAAATTAGCCTAGAGGGAACAAAGCGCCCATCCTGGAAGTCACAGGTTCAAATCCCAGCTCTCCCATTTACTAAGTGTGTACAATCTGACCCTTTGGTGCTTCAGTTTCCTCATCTTTGAGACAGAAACAGTGGTGAGACCTGCTTCATTGGGCAGGTGTGAGATGCCTGCAGAGATGGCCTAACAGGAGCCATAAGGATCATTCTAGAAGGACCCTCTGGCTTAAACCCTGGAGTAGTCAGTGTGGAACACACCTAGCACCCTTCCACGTGCGCACACTCACCTGCACCTCCTCCCCAGACAAGCCCTAGTAGGGCCAAGACCAACACACAGGCTGTGGGTGACTAACGCCTGCAGCTGGGACAGGTTTCCTGGGACAAGTCAGCACAGGCAGGTCTGGGCTCCTCGGAGTGCCAGTGCACACCAGCATCTAGTGGAGACAGGGGCACAGGCCCAGTGCACCTAGCCACACCCAGGTCCCTGTGGCAGGAGCGGGGCACCCCATGGCCTGGGTTCTCACCTGGCAATGTCTCCCCCAGAGTCTCAGTGTTTACCTCTGTGCACCAGAAAATGGGTGCAGCCAGAGGGGAATGGCTGCAGGTCACAGGAGGGAAGCATGGAAAGTATGCCCCAGCTTTGCCAAGGTCCTCTGTCCTTTCTTCCCATCATGTACCTTGAAAGCCATCAGTGGGGAGAGACCGGGCCCCTGGTCACTCAGGAATGGTCACTATAACTTGAAGGAAAGCAGGATGAAGAGTGGCTCAGACTTCATTGTCATGGGAAGGCAAAGCAATGGTTTGTCTGGAGAGAGGCCATCCCAGAGGGCACATACTGAAGGTGGCATTCATTTGGGCTCTGAGGAATCAATAGGAGTTCCTGGACTCTGAAAACTGTGAGGCCACTGTGCAGTCCTTGCGGGTCCCTGCAGGCAGGCAGCTGAGCAATACATGCTCCAGGCAGATGCAAGACTAGACCTGAGTGGAGCCATGGAGCCAGGGTCCTGGGACTGGGGAGTGAGAGCCCAGCTGGGCATCTCAGGTCTCACAGCTAAAGTACTTGGCCTGGCAAAAAGCAAGTTTCTGAGGACAAATTCTGTCCCAGATTGTGAGATCCTCCAGACTTCCGTTCCTCTCTGTCAGCTGGAGAAAATATAACCCAGTGCGCACGATGGCTGGGAAAGCAATGGGAGTCCACGCATATAAAATGCCTAACGCAGGCCCCAAGGAACTGTACTAATGAGAGAGCTACTATAATAACATAAAGTCCCATGTAAATGTGGGGGACAGCAGGTGGGCACCAGGCCAAGGCCACAGGCTGTGAAAGACCCTGCTGGAGGGCACACTCTCTCCTGTTCAGGGCAAGGAGGCAGCCTGGTGGCTCCTGGCTGTGTCCTCCTGTTCCCTGAGCGCTGGTCTCCTCATCTGTAAGATGCCCTGACAAAAGCACCTTCTTCAAAGGCTACCTCAAGAACTGAGTGTGGGGAGGGCAACTGAAGAGGCCCGACATAAACTGAATTCTCACACACAGCTCAAAGCAAGTTCCTGAACACTGATCCCTGGGGCTGCTTCAGCTCGCTGGGTCACCCTGCATCTTGTGGGGTGTCTGTCCACACCCTGAACTCCACCTACTAGGTATTGGTAGCACTCTGCCTCTCCCAGCTGTGACAACCAATGCAACCAGAAGTCCCATGGCTTGCAGATGAGCAGATGCTATGTTGGAAAACTGTGTGTCAAGCTAGATATGGTGATGGAAACCTGCAATCGCAGTATTTAGGAGGCTGAGGCACAAGGATCATGAGTTCATGGCCAGCCTGAACTACAGCAAGGCCCTGTGTTAAAAAAAAAAAAGAAAATAAAATGAAAGAATAAGGGAAGGGCCCAGTTGCAGGAGTCATCTGGCCTCAGTTTTGTTGTTTTGTTTTTTGAAACAAGGTCTCACTGTGTAGTTCAGGCTGGCCTCAAACTCATGGTGATCCTCCTGCCTCAGCCTCCCAAGTGCTGGAATTACAAGCATGCCACCACACTCAGCCTGGCCTCAGTTTTGGCATAAGAAAGGACATAGTGCTCTTTCTTTCCTGTGGGACCCTGGACAGAGCAGGTATGTGGGAGGGATGGGCTTTGTCCCTTCCCTGGCACCTCAGGTCAGCTCAAACCTGACTGGTGCCCAGGAAGGAGGCCATGCCCAAATCCTAACGTGGCCCTCATCATTGTCATCCTTAGGTATGAAGACAAGGGCGGAGGGCAGGGTCAGTTCACCATGGTAACCACTGATGGGCCGTGGTACTTGGTAAACACGAGGTACTCAGTAAGCAGTGGGTACGGATGTGAGTAGTCACAGCAGTGAAGCCTGAAGCACAGGGCGTGAAGAGACACAGGCACCGGGAGGGTGGGGCTGCACTCCTGACCACTTCCTGTCTGCAGAAGGGAATGTGCCCTTTGAACTCCATTTCCTGAGCCTTCTCCCCACTCCAGGGGCAGGGAGAAAGAGGGAGAGGTGCCCTTGTTCTAGGGGTGGATACTCACCTTTCTGAAGGACGAGGGCCACACTGAACCCAGCCACCTGCGCAGGGTCTGTGGGAAGGCACCACAGTTGTGTTCGGCCTGCCGCACGTGGGCTTCCAGGAAGGTAGCGTGGTGCCCAACCATCCTGACGAAGGCCTGGAGGGAGAGGAAGGCTTGGAGGGAAGGAAGCCATGAGGCAGCAGCACAGTCCTGGTGGGGCGCACTGGATGGGCAGGGGTGCTGGGCCTTAGTCACACCACCAGCCTCCCTCCAATCAGACGATCAATCAGACCCATGGGCTCCCAGGGAGGGCTCCGGAGCCTGCTGTGTGGAAGAGGCCCCCAGAGCCCAGAGGAACACTGCTGCCCCCCATCCCACACCAGGCCTGCTCCTAGCCCCCACCAGCAGAGGACAACTGAGGCTCGGCAAGGCTGGGTCACACAACGGAGCAGGGCAGAGAGGAGCTCCTGAGACCTCCTCTGTCAGATTTCAAAGCCCTTTTTTATTGAAAATGGGTATTTTTAGAAATTGCCTAAAAGCTCATTTGAATAGCTGATATAGAATGGAATTGAGAAGCTTCCAGAAGCCAGGCAGGGAGCACATAGGCAGAGAGTGTTGCATGGGGAACTGTAAAGCTGGGTCCCAGTTACATAGGTCACCGGCTCCAGTCCTCAAGGGAAGAGATTCCAACCTCAGATAAAAGCAATGGAAGTCCAGACTGCCTGGATTAGAATCCAGCTTCTGCCTGCTCCTCACCACTTATATGCCTCCTGGCAAGTTCCTTGATCTCTATTAGTCTCAGTTTCCTCATCTATAAAATGGGAATAATAACACCAATCTTGTTAAATAAGTGAAGTGCTTAGCACATACTTAAGAGCCCATTAAATATCAGCCACCATCATCTTATAAAGGACAATCTAATTTTATAAAGTCTCCAGTTTTTATCAATACTAACAATAAATTTGTACTTTAAAAAACACTCTGCAAGCCAGATGTGGTGGTACACACCTGTAATCCCAGCACTTAGTAGGCTGAAGCAGGAGGATCACAGTGAGTTCAAAGCCAGCTTAAACTACATAAATCACTGGCCTTCTTTTTTTGAGAGGGCCAGGGATTTAGCTCAGTGGCATAAGCGCCTGCCTGCGAAGTGCTAGGTTGTGAGAACCATCCAGGGTACCAAAAAAAAAAAAAAAAACTGTGCAAACCCAGGAAAATTTAAAACCTCCATTGTGCCCTTACACATCTTTCTCTGTGCTTCCTGCGTGTAAATGTGGATGTGTAAGCGTGTACAGTGAGGGTCACCAAATGTGGCAACTACAATAAGAGATTAGCAATGATAACAACTAGAAGGACTATAACAAACGCGGTGTGAGCCTTCTCAGACAAGGCCCCGCGCTCTGGGTCTCCCTCACTCCAACAGCAACACGGAAAAGCCTTGTATCAGAAACAGGCACAGCAAGCCAGGCATGGTGGCGCAGGCCTGTAATCCCAGTGCTTGGGAGGCTGAGGTAGGAGGATCACTAGAAGTTCAAGACCAGCCTGGGCTACAAAGTTGAGTTCCAGACCAGCCTGAAGACCTTGTCTCAGAAAAAAAAGAAAAGAACAAACCAACGAACAGGCCCAGTGCTGGGTGCTTTGTGGAAACCTCCCTCACTAGAAGGAAAGAGGGCTGCCTATCCTCAGCCTCTCATTCAGCACTCTCGCTCCATCCAACAGCCTTCCTGGGTCCCAGAAAGTGCCTGGCCCCTCTCTCCTCCACAGGGCCTTTGCATGCTCCCTCTGCCTGCAGCCTCTTCTCCCTGTTCACCGGGAGGTGGCTCTGCTCCTCTTCTAGGCCCTGAGTCAGCTATGTCCTCCTCTGGGGTCCTACTACCCCTGACCTAATGCACCTCCCAGGCAGCCATGGGGCCACCCTGACTCCCTGTCTCCACTGTCCTCAGCAGTTCCCATCTCCTTCTAGCACGCTGGTACCACAGGAAAGTGCCAGGTCAGTATGGCCCGCAGGTCACACCGGAGCTCAGCCAGTGGTGGGTGTGTGCACGGTAAGCACAAGTGTGCCACGAATGAAGGGGTCAATGAGTGATATGGCCTCTGAAAAGAGACACTGGACAACCGAAGGTGGCAGCGGGTACTGTGCTTCAGCTGCCCTTAGGCTGCGGTTCTGGTTGCAGCAGGTCTGAAGTCTGGATCTGCCACAGCGGTGTGTATACACACCCATGTGTATGCATGGTGGGTGGGTCGCAGGGCCACAGCTGGGAAGGTGCCTTCATCTAACAGGTGCCTGCCCTGCGGCTGGATGCCGCAGGGGCCTCACATCTGGTTGTGAACACTGAGGAAGGCCCGCTCCCATTTAGTCCTGAAGCCGATTCCAATTCTCTACTTGCCACACCAACACCAGTCTGGAGGGGAGTGTGCTGGCAGGGGACCGTGTACACCCGCAGCCCATGCCGAGCCAGCCTGGCTAAGCTGCCACAGGGAGGACAAGCCCCAGGCTAGCCAAGGCCACAGGCCTGACTTAGAGAGCCAGCAACACACTCACCATCCACATGGACAGGAGACCACTGATCTCCCAGGGGCCTGGGGCCTGAGGCCTGGGAGCCAGGAGAGCTGGGCCCATTTTCCCTGGGTGAAATGTGCTACTTCAGTCAGCAGGGCAGGAAGCAAAGGAGGGTGGCCTGCTGTTAAAACCGCACTTGAGAGCTGAGGAAGGTGAGCACTGTTGGCAAAGACATACTGCTCAGCAAAGGAGTCAATAGCACTGGGAGGCACAGACTGCAGCCCCGGCCCCACATCCTGCTGTGGGACCCTGGCCAAGTCACTTCTCTCGGTCTCTGCCCCTTCTGTAAATGCAGTTGGTTCCAAGGCAGCTGTGAGTTTGCCCCAAGGTCTTGGTGGGAAACCTGGACAGTCCCCAGCTCACAGAGGCACACGGGAAGTGTTAGTCTGTGCTAGGAGACCGATCAAGGGCCACAGCATCACCATCAGTTCTGAGGCGCCCTGACAAGTCCCACTGATCCAGACAGCAGTGTGGTTCTGGGGGCTGGGGATTTAGCTCAGCGGCATAAGTGCCTGCCTTGCAAGCAGGCAGTCGTGAGTTCGATCCCTGGTACCGGTAAAAAGAAGTATGGTTCTGGCCCTGTAGGAGCCACTGAAACGCTAGCTGCCGTGAGGCCCTGGCTGGCATAGCAGAGGGGGGCTATCAGCCAGGGCACATGCTCTCAGCCCAGGGACAAGCACTCCAGCCACCAAAACAGCCATCTGTCCTCACAGCGCTCCCAAGGTGAGCCAGATGCCAACCTCACTTACTCTACTCTCGAGACTGACAGAGAGACATTCCTAGCCTACAGAGGAAGAAACTGAGTCAGTCACCAAAGGGCCTGACCCACCTGGCTCTGGAATTCACCTGCCCTGGTACAACATGAGGTTCTCATCGGGTCCCTCACTTTACAGCTCTGATGTCACACACTTTAGCTCGGGGGAAATACAAACCTCCCCTTTGCCTCAAAATCTGTGACCTCTCTTGGACTACTGCAGGTCCCTCCTGCATTCATGCACGCAGGCAGGCAAGCAGGCTCCTGGGAACTGAACCCAGGGTCTTTGCACTGAGCTATATCCACAGCCCTTTAAAAAATTTTTTAACATTTTGAGATAGGATCTTGCTAAATGCTCATGCTAACCTCCATCTTGAAACCCTCCAGCCTCAGCCTCCCAAGTAGCTGAAATTACAGGCATGTGCCATTGCACCACCTTCCCTTACTTTTAGTACCAACCCATTCCAGAAACTTCTATAGAATTTCAATAGTGCCAAGGTGTTGAATTACGGTAAGTGCCACTAGGCCTCAATGTCAGACAGACTCCAGGACATCCTCTTGCTGGCATCCCTGTCCACCAGCTTCATCTAAAGCTTATACAATTGCTCCTGAGCATCTAAAATGTAGGAGGCCCCTTTGAAAACAATCTGGAAGTTCCTAAAAGGAGTGATCATAGACCCAGCATTTCTACTCATAGGTACTGACCTCACACAAAGGAAAGCACAAACACTCAGAGAAGCATTACTCCTAACAGCCCTGAAGCAGCAGAACCCCAAACATTCATCAGCCAGTGATGGACAAACAGAATTTGGCACATCCATAGAACTGAGAAGTCAGCCATAAAGGAAATGGACGTCCTGCACACACTAGAACATACACGGACCTTCTCAGCATCTCACTCGGTGAGAGAAAGCAGACACACAAGACCCTCATGATCCACTTTTGCTAATAAGAAATATCAGGATGGGCAGAAATCACAGGCACAGAAGTAGAGGAGGGCCTTCCAGGGCTAGGGAATGCTAATAAAAATGAGGTTTATTTTGGGAAAACGATGCGGAATGGGAGCACGGTGATGGTTGGGAGTTGGAGCCACACCCAAGACCTCTCAATGGGACACCATCTCAGTCACTTCCCTGTGTCTGGGACACACACCCAACACCCACCACTTAGAGGAGGAGAGGTTCTCTTTGGCTCACATTTTCAGTCCTAGCTACAGGACAGAATAGGCATGGCAGAGGGGTACACACCACAAGGACAGCTGCTCATATCATGCTGGCCAGGAAGCAGAGCGAGAAGTGGGGACCCGCTATTCCCACCAGGCCACACTCCAACAGCAAACCAGCTGAATGGTCCCCACAGTCCAATTACCCCCAAACCCCAGTTCTAAGTACATGAAGTCTTTGGAGAACATTCTCCTCCTAAACCGTAACAAACACTTTAAGAATACAGTGGTCAGACCGGGATATAACTCAGTGGCACTGCACCTGCCTGGCAATCACAAGGTCCTGAGTTCAATTCCTGGTACAAAAAAACAAAAACAGGCCTGTAAGAGCCTTGAAAGCTGAAAACTGTGGGCAGTACTGAGCCTGCCAAGTAACTGTTTTTCCCTATGCCAACTTAAAGTTTAATTTATAATTGAGGAACAGTAAGAGATCAGCAACAGTAACAAATAGAACGATTACCACAATATACTGTAAAAAAGTGATGTGAATGTGGTCACACTCTTTCTCTTCTTGTCCTTGAATACAAGCCCTGAGATTTCTGCAATAGTGATACCCAAAATGCCTTGGGAGTGACTTCCGGGAAGGAGGCATAGATAGCATGGATCTGTTGCCAGAAAAGATGATCCACATCCTGGACAGGATAGCATCGGATTTCATGCACAAAATTTAAAATGTATGAATTGGCTATTTTTAGAATTTTCCACTTAGTGCTTCTGAACCAAGACTGACCACAGATAAACCATAGCATGGAAAGGGAAGCCATGGATAAGGGGAACTGCTGTAACCCACCTGGACTTTCTCATGAGGAAAAACTACAGCAGGTATGAGCCCTTTAATGACTGCCATCCTCAGAGCAGGGTCCAGGCGTCTTGGCCAGGCTCTTTGCTTTCAGCTTACATTCATCCCTGACCTGAGCCAGGAAGGCCTCAGGGCCTTTGCACCAGCTATTCTCTCCCTAGGCTCGATGCACCATGATCCAGGCTTAGCATAAAGGCTCTCTGAAACCATGAAGTTCTGGTGACTTGTTACAGCAGCAGCAGGAAGCCAACAGTCATGCTTGCCGAGGGTCCCTTTCGGAGGGAACACAGACTGTCTCTCTCACTGCAGTGGCCCTGCAGAGCACACAGTAGGCCCTAGATAACGGCGGCAGCCTGAAGGCTAAGAAAAGAATTGGACTTGACAGCTGGCCCAGCCCAGGCAAAGCAAGACCCAGTGCTGCAGAGCTTTACATTTTCTTTCTTCTTTCAAACGTGTGGAATAAAATTCAAATGGATCAGCTATTTCAAGGGCAAAGTTTTAATTATATTCCTGCTCCATTCTGTGCTGAGAAGAATGTTAATTCTCTGCTCAGTCAGTACTGACTGCCATGTTCACTGCCTCTGCGGCTCGAATTGGGCCATGTCTCCTCTGGCCAGGGGTCCACTAGCAACTGCGATCGTCCCTGGCCTCCTGCTACCTTCTCTGTGCATGGAGCTGGATCCCAGGCCACAGCCCCAGGCCCACAAAGAGGTTCGGCTCTGGAGGATGCCTGCCAGAGCCCCAGCTTCGTGGGACTGGTGCACAACCCGGGGGAGGGGCTTACTACTCAGAGCTGATGCTGCTCTGAGACTGGGACAATGAGCGGGACCAGTTGCCATTTAGCACAGGTGAAATGAGACAGTGTGCACCTTAGCCAGCTGTCCAGGCAAACACAAGACAGGAAGGTCTGGGGAGGAGCAGCAGGCTGTGGTGGGACTGTGGTAAGCTGAAGAGCCGTGTATCTTCTGAGGGGGAGCTCCTCCTGGCTCTACCTACTCTTGCATGCACACTGAAGCATACAGCCTAGAGCTTAGAAATGCTCTTTCCCCACTTGGGTCGCGTTATGGTTTAAATATGAAGTATTCCTCAGAAAGTCATGTGTTTGATGACCACCAACACAGCAATGCCCACAGGTGAGGTCTAAAGAGGGGATCAGGTCACCAGTAGCTTAATCCACTTAAGTTCATGGCTGAATGCACAGTCAGGAGGTGGGGCCCATTTGGAGAAAGTCTGGGGTAGAGTTTGTCCCCAAGAACTTCCTCTCTGGCTCTCTTCCTGCTCTCACTGTGTGCCACACTTCCCAGGAGGTGAGCAGCGTTCCTCCCCCACACCCTTCCACATGATGTTTCTGCCTTACAGTCAGCTGACCATAGACTGAAACCTTTAAAACCAGGAGCTGAAATAAACCTTTCCTCCTCCAAATTGCATATATTGGGTATTTCGTCTCAGTGACAGAAAGCTGACTAATACACATCATCTTTACACGGGTGTTGATATATGTGGAAATTCACTGAACTGTACACTTATGATGTGTACCCTTGATATACTTATGCTTTGAAAAATGACCAAATTAAAATACTTAGAGAAATGTGGGCCCAGGACTATCAATCTTTCTAAATTTTCAAAAAGAGCATCAAATTCAGATTTTTAGATAAAGTAGCTCGATTTTGAAACACTGGAAAGAAGTTCTTATTTGTCATTTTAAAAAAATCCCAAGTGAGACAGCCCTTCATTCCTCCAGACCCCTCCCCTGGACCAAGTGCTAGCACTCCAGGCCACATCAGCATCTCAGAAGACAGGGCCAAGCCCTGACCCAACCTGCTGTCTCGTGGGGAGCCTGCGTTTTCCTGCACCCACCTCGAGCCGGTCCACTTTGGCATAGATGCCTCGCATTTCTGTCACTCTGGCCTTAAGGAGCGGAATGTTCTCCTCCAAGATCTGTGAAGTGTCGCTCCTGATCTGGAAAACAAAGTGATCGTAAGGCTCTGCACTGTCACTGCATCCTCTCACCTGCCCAGAGGGAGCTGGAGTCTGTGCAGACCCCGCTGATGACCAAGATGTCACACAGCATCCTGCCAACTCAGGTCCAAGAACCACCAGAGCCTGGGTGGGGACTGACCTCTTCACCTCTGGGACCGGACTCACTGAATAGAAATTAATGTTTCTCCCTCAAACACCCAGCAACACAAAGTCCTAATCTAAATATCTTTATTTCTTAAACCACTGATCTGGAGCAAATGGAAAGAATCAAAATCTCTTCCCTGAACCAGAGTCAGGGTGTAAGTCCAGTTTTCACTGGACTGGAATTAACACTAACGGGATAACTATCACTAATATTCCTGGAAACCACATGTGCCAATGTGCTCCCAGCACACAGATGCCATGCTAAGCATTTCCTTGCACCATCTCATTTAATTTTCAATTTCTTCTGCTTGCAAGTACTTGAAAAGGGATGGTGAGCTTTGAGAAGCCACATCCTTCCCTTCATCAGTGATGTCAGACACGGACACCTCCATTTTCCTTTAGAGCTTCAGGACCAAGCCTTCTGTGCCCAGAGAGGAAGGGAGGAGAGAAGAAGAGATTCCACACCAGTTTCAAGTTCAAGGCCACATCTAAGTCCCCTAGGGCAATGGTGGCAAACCGAAGGCATATGTACCACTGCACGTGCTAAAAGGTTCGCCATCATTGCCCTAGGGTAGTAAGCCTTTAAAGCTGCTTCTGAAGTCTCTCTGAGCTGGTCTCACTCGTCTGGGATTCTGTACTTTTGGCCAAGGCTCCACGGCAACCATAGAGTGGGACACTTGTGGAGTGGTCCACAAAGAAACACCTGGAACACAAATGGAGCTGAACTCTGGATTCGGACTGAAGTGTGAATTTAGCTTTGCCCACTGTGAACCGTGTGACCTCGGACAAGTCCCTGCATCGTTCTGAGCCCTCTTTCTTATCTGGGCAGTGATGGAATCATGACAGTCCTTCCTTCCTTCTTTGTAATGCCATAAAGATGAAATGTTTAGCACAGCGTTGAGATGGCTATAACCAGGTTGTGGTTCTCATTTCCCAGGGATGCCCACTTCCTGGTACCTATGTCCTGTCCAAGTCCCTTCCCTAGAGCCCAGCAGGACCTCATGTCTTGCTTCTCAGGAAGGTGAGTAGCCAAAGTGACAAATGTCACTTCTGAGTCTAGTTTACAGATGACTGTCAGCTCCAGCCTGCTAGCACGTCCTCTCATTGGCTAATGTGCATGGGCGTGGGTGAGTGTGTGTATGTGTGTAAACACGCGCTCTCTTCCCCTGCCCTCTTGGTTGCACACTCTGATGCAGCAAGGCGCCATGTTGGAGAACACATGGCCAGGCACGGAGGAGCCTCCAGCCCACAGCCCGTGAGGAGCTGGGTCCATCCCATGCTCTGATGTGGCCTGGAAGTGGATCCTGCCCCGAACCCGTGTGATGACATAGCCCTGGCCAAACCACTGGACAGTCCCTGACCTCGGAACTACCGCATCATAAACATACTGCATTAAGCCATACCTCAGGGTAACATGTTTCGCGGCAACAGGTACGAACACAGGGTTGGCAACCTGGTGGAAATTACAATTTAAAAATGTTCTGGAAAACTATGCCTGTTTTTTCTCCTCTTTCTGCCTAGGCAAAGGAGACCTGGTACAGAAATTTGCTCCTGCTACTGTTCAGAATGGCACCCCCTTGCCCTCGTCAGTGGGTCTCTGGAGACCCTCATCACATTGCCCTGCCTGTCTGTTCCCACATTCCTCTTCCCCTGGTCATGGTGTCAGCCTCTTCTTGGGCACCAGGTTCCAAGTCCAGCATCCCCAGAGGCATTCTTTTCTCATGCCCCAATTTTCACCCTGAGAGGGTGGCATTAGCCATCAGGCTGCCTGGCCTTGATCTCCAGACCACACCTTCTTCACCAGGAGCCCAGACGACTTGAGCCTCTCTGCCTCAGTCTCCCCTGTAACAAGGGGATGCACTTCCCCTGGGAAATGCTGTGAGGGTGACACAGGGTCATTAGTGCCTGAGTGTGGCCCACACACGCACCTAACTGGCTCACAAAGATTCTGATATTTTAATTCATTTCCAACTTTAAAATTCCAGCAGGGTTCCCAGGAGAAATGGCTGGTATTAGGGCTGGCTGGGGATCACAACAGGAGCTCAGAGCATCTCACAGCACCAGCAAGGCAGGGAGTGCTAAAAAGAGACATAAAGACAGGTAGCATGTCAAGGGGCCCAGAGGCCAACCTGGAGGGGCTGCCTAAAGGAGCACACTAACAATGAAGGCAGGATTACACCAGAAGTATAAAGTGAACACAGCTGGCCCCTTCCCACAGGTAACATCTGCAGCTGACCAGCTGGACTGCTGGACACTGCTGGCTCCAGTCTTCACAAACATAGCCTGAGTGGAGAGATGGTAACCACACTATCTGGAAACTCAGCAATCTCTGCAGTTTTCTGGTGAACCTAAAGTATTCCAAACTAAAATAGAGAAATATTGTGTTTAAAACTTTATGGTGATAGGGGCTGAGGATTTAGCTCAGCGGTATAAGCGCCTGCCTTGAAAGCAGGCAGTCGTGAGTTCGATCCCTGGTACCGATAAAAACGAAAAAGACAAAAAAAAAAAAAAAAAACCTTTATGGTGATCAAGTCTAGATTGACAGACAAGGGCTGAGTTCTGCAGACACTGTTGTGGGGCAGCTCCTCCAGGTGGGCCTGAGCTCAGTTCCCACGCCTCCCAGTGGCCTGTCTCTGCCCCAGCTCAACTCCATGCCCTGACTGGCACACTTGCTGCCAGGGACAAGGAAAAGCCCTCAGGATCCTTTCTTTCTTCCCCAAGGCTGACTTCCTAGAGAAGCCCATCATCCTCAAGGAGGCTAAACTCTGCAGACAACTGCATGATGCGACAGAGTGGATAATTAACTCTGAGGCAAGGTCAGACTGCAGCAGAACACACGCAAGCCTTTTCTTTCTGTTCATTCTGAAGAAACAGATGGGGAGGGAAAGAGAACAGGAGGGGGTGGGCTGAGTGAAGGGAGGGTGGTGGGGAGGAGGCACAGAAACCCTCTCCGCTCTCCTCTAAAACCAGAGAAGGTGAGGAAGGGGAGCCTGGGGCCGAGCAGGGCGTTTCTTCCTGGAAGCAGCCTCTCTAGTAGCTGGAGTCATGTGCAGCTTAGCTATGGGGTACACCTGCCTGAAGGCTCCTGCAGCTACTTAGGATGACAATCCCAAGTCACCCCCATGTCTTGTTTCGGGTTCCCTCTGTGGGCTGGAAGCAATGAAGCAACTTCAGGATCATTTAAAGCCAGCCCAGTCAAGAGGGGCACGGAACCACCAGACTGCCTCCTGAGAAACCTGGGCACAGAGACCAGACTGCACTCTTGAGAACACCTGGCACTGAGCTGTGAAACAAGAGCTCCTACGTCTCCAGCCAAGGTTCAGAGAAACAAATGAGCAGGCCCAGGGCACGCAGCTGGGAAGTGGGAGACAGGATTCCAGCCCAGGGGGTCCATGCACCTCTCCCCCCAGCAAGAGACAGGTTCTCTCAGCTTACACTCTGTCAGTCTGGTCACGGCTGGAACAAAACCAAAAACCCAACCGAATAAGAGGCCCATATCTCGAATTCAGGACTTTTCCCTTAAAAGCCAAGATTTGTGGCTTTTTATGAAAAGTCCCCAAGAGTTGGCCACTCTGAGCCCCGTTCTGTCCAATAGCAATCAGCTGCAGCCAGTGGCAGCTGCCTCTTCAGTTAACCACAGTCCTCAGCCCTCCCCAAAGCCCCTCTACATGGGGCCTGCAGCCACCCGGAGCACTGTTTGTCTTACAGGTGAATCAGAGGAAAGTGACACATTTCTCCGCTCACACTCAACCCATTTCTCATCGCCACGTGACAGGCATCTGAGTGTGTGCTGAGCTATACTCTGAGAGGAGCACAGGGCATCCGGGAAGAATCAATGCTCCCTGAGCCTCTGCCAGGACAATGCCTAACCACACTTTCCAGCCTGGGGCCTGCGGCCCTGTCCCAGCCTAAGCTTCTACCATCCCAATGCCTGGAAGTCTAGGGGTGGGTGCTGAGGCCACGACAGAGCAAAGACGGCCAGCCATCCAGGACAATCCGGGCCCCAGGGAGGACAGCCAAACACACTGGAGCCTGGAGAACGAGCCCATGCCAAATGCAACTGCTGGGCCTGGGCCAACGGGCCACTTCGGCCATTTATGTGAGCAGAGTAAGGGCCTGCTCCATGGCAGGGGTGGCTGGAGGGACTGGACACACTGCCCGAGCCACAGAGGCACTGAGCCACAAAGGCTTCCAAATCCTGTTACTGTAGATAACACTAGTGCTGGGCCAATGGTGCTTTGGAAATGACGACAGCGACATTAGTAACTACCACTTCGAGGTCACTGAATACAGAGCAGGTGCTGTGCTCAGCAAAGATTTTTAATGGAAAACAGTGACATAAAGTGGCCAGGACAGAAGTATGCAGTGTTATGAATGTCTACATGTTCCCCTCTGCCACTGACCCCCAGAGCAAGACATGAAGTACTCCATCAGCCTGGGGGCCCATCCTGCACCCACACCTCCTCTTCTAATCCATGACTGCCCTCCTCAATACAGGCATTACGTGACTTCAGCCCCCAGAGCTGGGTACTGCTTTCCTGGAGTTAAGAGTGATGGAATCATGTAAAATATACTCTTTCTTTGGGTGGTTCTGGGTTTGGGAGGGGGTGGTTCTGGGGCTTGAACCCAGAGTCTCTGCACTGAGCAATATCTATACTTTTTTTTTTTTTTTTGGCACAGGGTCCCATTAAACAGCTAAGTTGCTCTCACTGGGCTTAAACTTATGATCATCCTGCCTCAGCCTCCCAGTCTTAGAATTTCAGGCATAATGTGCCACTCTGCCCAGGGAAAGAATAAACTCTTCTTTGTCTTACTTCTTCTGCTTAATATCATACTGGTGAGGAGCACCCGCATTGCTGCAGAGAGCCGTTTTTGTGGCTGAATGTGAACAAACGATGTACTTGCCTCTTCCACTGCTGATGAACATCTGAATGGCTCCCAGTTTGGGAGTCTTAGGGTTCAAGGCTGCCACGAAAGGCTCTATATGAGTCTCTGTGTGGACTTATTTTAATTTCCCTTTGGTAATGATCCAGGATTAGAATTGCTGGGATTTAGGTTAGCATTATTATTAGATCCTGCCAAACTTTTGCAAAGGGGGCTCTACCTTTTTGCATTCCACCAGCAAAACGCGAGTTTCAGTTGTTCTTCATCCTGCCAGCTCAGTACCCCCGTGTGGATGTAAAGCACATGCCCTGCTCCATCTACTCCTCACAAGAACTCCCTGGAGACGGATTCCACAGATTCTTCACATTCTTCCCGAGAAGAGGTGAGCCCTGTGTGCCTCCTCTTGATTCTTGGGTGGGTTATGTGATTTTGCTTTGGCCAATAAAAGATAACAAAAGTGACCCTGTGTTTCCATACACAGGCCTCCAAAGACTTGGCAGCTTCCATATCTGCTACCTGTGGAGGCCACATGGCCACACGGCCGGAAGCCCAACCAGCCATGCAGAGGTCGTGTGGCTGAGGGTCTCACAGTCAGTCCCAACCGCACCAGCCATCCGTCCCAGCCAGGGCCCACACAAGTGAACGAAGGAGCCATCCAGTGTTCCTCACCCCAGCAAGCACCAATGGGCTCTGGCCAGCTGTTCCTTGTGCCCTGTCACAGCCCACAAAAGGCAATGGGTACTGTTTTATGACACCAAGTTTAAGGTCATTTACAATAATCAGAACCATCATCTCTACTTTACAGAGGACACAACCAGAATTCAGAGGTGTTGAGCTGCGCCCAGGGCTCCTGGCACAACACCAGCATATGTCATATCGAAGGCCAAAACACATCCTAGCACAAGGAATGAAAGTCAGTCATAGAGAGGCATCAAGGACAGGCTGGAAGCATTAATATGTCAGACAGGAAGCTGGGCTTGGGTTTCTAGTAGCCTGCTTTTAGCAGAAAGGAAGCAGCTTCCCTCCAACTCATGTAGCAGAGAATTCAGCTGCAAGGTGATCTGTGTCTCTAAAGGTGAGCCAGAGGGGCTTGGGGACAGGGAGTGGCCCATAGTGTGACATCACCTGCCCCATAGGGCTCCACTCATCCCTAGCTTGGGTTTTAAAACAGCTCTGAAGAGGAAATGAGGACAGCCTGGAGCTCCTGACACCTGGACACCAGGCCATCCAGGCCTTGGTGTCAGGCCCCAGGAGATTTCCATAGTGTGCAGGGCATGGGCCCAGCACGCTGCCATAGTGGCTGTGCTTTTTTTTTTTTTTTTTGGCTTTTTCCTTTTTTACCGGTACCAGGGATCGAACTCATGACTGCCTTCTTGCAAGGCAGGCGCTTATGCCGCTGAGCTAAATCCCCAGCCCCTCATAGTGGCTGTGAATGCAGATGTCCCCGGGGGCAACGGAAACCCTAAAGGCTGGGCACACTGTCTGATCCTCTGTCTCCAAAGAGCTTATGTTCTTCCATTTCTTGAAACATGGGGTAATCTCCCTGTTCCATCTTTATCTTCCTGCTCTCCTGCTCGTCATAGGGTCTGAAGCCCAGAGAAAGATTACAGAACACATAAGCACACAGTGGTCATGGAGTTGGGAGGCTTCCTGCAGAGCAGTGAGGGTGGGACAAGCTGGAGATCACACTTGTCATCTGCAGGGGCAGAAGCTGCCAGGTGGGAGCAAGCACCCAGGGGGCAGATCTCTGCTTTTCCATGAGAAGCCAGAAATCCAGTTACAGGTCATGAAATTCTAAAAGTAGCAATGGTTGGTTTCCACTTTTTCTCAGAAACCTCCCCATACCTACAGGTGGCAGTAGGCCAGGGGTCACCTATTCACGTGTCTGCAGTACTGAGTCTGGGCCTGGAGCTGGAGGACCTCCCGATGCCACCCACAATCCCGGGTCTCCTGTGACGTTTTGAGTCCCCACCACAGGATGCCTTGAGAGTTTCCAGCATGAGTTGCTCTGCTCTCGCCACCCTGCACACATCCTCCTCTCCGACCATATGAGGGTCTTCTTTCATAGACGGCAGAGTGGACAGGGTGGAGACACTGAGAGCACCAGCGTGCTTCTGGTCATCAGTCCACGCCATCTTCCAGACCAGCCTTTCCTGCCTGGTGCTCGCCACACCAGGCCTGGATGCCCTCTCTCCCATCCACTGAATTCCGCCTGCTCTTCCTCCTTCAAACCCTAAATGGAATCACCACCCATTCTGCAAAGTCTTTCTAAGTTCCTAGGCAGGCAGGAACACCCATGCTCTGGAACCCCCTTGCATCCCGAACCCATGCGCATAGCAGCACTTTGGCTCTGGAAAAGACATCAGCATCTAATGGGTCCCCCGCAGCCTGGCCCAGGAACAGCTCTGACTCTCCATACTCAGACTCCTCATGCAGTCACGTCACGACGAGGGGCCCAGTGTTTAGTGATGAAGAAAGCCTTTGCCAGGCTGCCAAAAGCCTGTTATCCTGGTTATCCTGGCCATATCTGGACTGACAACAGAACTAAAATGCTGGCTGTCAGGAATTAAAGCTATTCAAGTCCCCTCAGGAACTCTCGCTCCTATCTTCTTCGCTGTTACGTCCCCAAAGGCTGGCCTAGGGTGGGCACTGAATACTGTGACGCCTGGCACCTAATAAACAGCTGGGCTACTATATTACTATCACTCCTTGCATGTTCACAAATGCCTCTTAGCTCTGGACACTGCCGATACATAGATCTACACCCCTGGGCCCAGCCAGGCAGACATTTTCAGCTCCAGGGACAGGCAGAGCCTGGTTACAACATGGAGTCTACCCTTTGGGCCTCCAGACAGAAACCTCCAACCTGGGTTGCTTATGTGCTTCCCAGACCAATCTGGGCTGCTTGTGTGCCTTTAAGAAGCTTGGAATGTGGTAGAAAATTCTGTCATTTCTGCTAGGGGTTTCACCCCTGGCCAACAGTCCTGGGGACCCAAGGATCTACAGGAGATTTCTAGAGATTTGGACATTGTCTAACAGCCTCAAAATGCTGTCTTCCATCTTCCTTCCCACCAAGCCTAAGGGACTTGATCCAACACAGCAGAGCAGGAGGCGAAATTTGAGAGGACAAAAGGATCCCGAAAGGAACTTGATGCCCACCCCGCCACCAGCTATGGCACGGGCAAGAGGCTCCTCCCAGGCCCCACAGGCCTGAAGCCATTTTCTGGCCGTCTCCATGTTTGCAGGGCGGACTCCGAAGAGCTGAGGAAAGTTAAATATAGTCCTAGCATCCCCGCTGATCGGCTCCCCGCATTGGTGCCCGAGAGTGCCACCTTGTGGCCCAGTCCCCGCTCCTCTGTGGAAGAGAAGCCATCTCAGGGGAAGAAGGAGATCAAGATGGCTGCCTCAGGAAGCACTTGGGGTTGACAGAGTGTGTGTGAGAAAGACGGAGAGAAAGAGCGTGGGAGGGAGGAGACAAGACAAAGTGTGTGGTTTCCTCTCCCTGCTGGCCACTGCCCCCTTCCTTCTGGTGGCTAAATCACCACCAACATGGCTTCCCCAGAAAACTCCAGGAAAGGCCTCATCTCAGGCCTCCCAGGCAGACACTCACCGTGTCCATCAGGCTGCAAAACTCTTCCAGCAGGAGGAGCATCCCCTCGATGGCTGCCTCCACCTCCCTTGCCTGCAAAAAGACATCGTCCTGCAGATTAGCAAGTGGTTTCCAGGGAGACAAACACCCTTCACTTTTTTTTCAGCAAACTAAGTCTTAGGATTATGTGCCCAATTCCTTCTAGACCCCTCTTCCTTTTCAAAATCCTCTGGGCCTTCTTTCAAACAGTAGTAAGTAGGCAGCAATCGTGACACCCATCCACAGAGGACTAATTATCACCACCTTGGTCATGTATTCTACATACCTGTCAAAAGAGACAAGATTAATAAACACTAGCATGAAATAACAAAGTTACCTACATCCTTCCCATCCCACAGAGGAGGAAAGCGACGCTCAGAGAGGTGAGGTAACTTGCCCATGGCCACACAGTGAACGAGAGGTGCAGCCAGTTTTCTAAGGTGGGCTGCAGTCCACAACCCAAAGCCAGCTCTTACACACACTGCTTCATGCCCTGCGCAATCACAAAGAGGAAGGGCGAGCTGCAGAAGGGACAGCAAATGAAGCTGTCTTTGTAACCATACATAAAAATGACAACAGCTCAGCAGAGGGGTCCTAAAATGCCATGTGCCACGCTGCTATCGTTAGGGAAGGTGTTTGTACCAAAAGAAAATTGGAAAATTCAATTTTGGAAAATTCAAATGTTCCTGCTGTACTTTATGCTTGCTTAGCCCTAAGGACAGGGTCTAGGGGATGGGCTCTGACAAGGGTGCACACTTTCTGAAGGGTCCAAAACTCTACACTTACCAGATTCACACAGTGACATAAATAAAGAATCCACTGTGGGTCGGAGTATAGCTCAGGGTTAGAGCGCTGATTTAGCACACATAAGGCCCAAGACTCCAGCACATTAAAAACTTAATAATAATAATAGTAATAATAGAATAATAATGGAACTGCCAGGCGTGGTGGTTCACGACTGTAATCCCAGCACTCAGGGAGGCTGAGGCAGGAGGATCGTTTCGAGTTTGAGACTAGCCTGGGCTACAAAGTGAGCTCAGGGCCAGCCTGAACTGCATAGTGAGATCCTGTTTCAAAAAGACAAAAAAAGGGGCTGGGAGGGCTGGGGATTTAGCTCAGCAGCATAAGTGCCTGCCTTGCAAGCAGGCAGTCGTGAGTTCGATCCCCGGTACCGATTAAAAAGGAAAAAGACCAAAACAAAACAAAAAGACAAAAAAAAAAAAGAATAATAATGGAGCTAAAAATTTCTTAATGGGCTGAAGTTATAGTTCAGAGGTAGGACACACATGCAGGGCTCTTGGGTTCCAACTTCAGTATCTCAAAACAAAATAAAACAAAAAAGAGGCTACTGGCCTGTGGTCAGCTGAAAGGTACTTGCCCAGGTCCTTAGTAGCTGACCACTAGCAGCCACCAGGAAACACAACTCTGGGGTTGCCAGATATTTCCATTTTCAGGAGGAGCCATAAATTCTAATTTTAAGGGAAGTCTTAATTTTAAAATATTGGCATACAGTCAAACAAAAATCTTGGATGCCTCACAGGCCAAATACTGGCATTAAAGGCCCTGCCAGCTACAGCTGCCCCCACCTACTCCCCTCACTTGGGCAAAAGTCAGCCTGGCCCACTTTCTTCTGGAGCTACATCGCTTTCCTGCTAGGAAAACTCCCTGTGGGTGCTGTCTAATCCACCAGGCATTGTGGAGTTAACTTCCCCCAACATGAAGCCTTTCTGTGGCTGGCCACCAGCCTGGCTGGAGGTGACCAGAGGCTGCGGGGAGACCCTGCCCCACACCTGAGGCCTCCCAGCCACCCACCTGTCTCAATGAGAGGTTTAGACAGCACCAGGGTGGCTGTTTCCAGTGAGAGCTGTCACCACAACAAAATAAACCACTGTGCAAAAAAACCTCTTTCTGGCTAGCATATAAATAGTACCAAGTTGCAATTTTAAACTCTGGAACCTGAATCTCACAGCTGGGACTATTTCTGGGCCTTCACAGGGAGGCCTGACAGAAGAGGCCACAGGGAGGATGGCTAAGAAGCAAGGCAGGAGACCCCCAGGCCTAAAGAGTAAAACCATGGCATAAGGAGCCAGCAGGTCACTGAGGCAGGAGACGGGGAGCCTAGATGTTCCTTCTGACCCAAAGGGAGGCAAGAGAGATGGGCAGGACAGCCATGGGAGAACACAGAGCCCAGTGCCGAGGAAGCCAGACCCTGCCCAGGGCCACCCCAGCTGAACACGAACACTGGGTCTCCTTCCCAAGGCACCCGGAGCACCCTGCCTGCAGGAGACTCATCCCGATCACGCTGGCAAGTTCAGAGAGGACGTACCATAGGGCCGGGGGGGAGGCTCAGGGCTACAGTGGTTGCCAAGCACGCACAGGGCAAGTGAGGCCTTGAGTTCCATTCCCAGAACCATAAAAAAGGAAGAAAGGAAGCAAGGACATAGTACCTTCAAGACCGTCCTCAAATGCCAGCTTTTCTTCTGCCAGTCACGGGTCCTCAACCCACTGGCTTCACTTCTGAATTTTGGCTGGCACTATGACAGGAGCCACTCATCCAGCAGGGCTGTCAGGTCAGCCTAGCACAGTAATCAGGCTATGCCACTGAGCAGAGGGTTGCACAAGTCCACAGCAGAGCTGCTTTGTATACCTCTCCCCTGGGCACTCAAAGCAATGCTCGTCACTCAGTGTTAAGGATCTCATTTGAATCTCCAACAACTCTCTAGGCAGGTGCTATTAGCTCCTCCTTTTTATGAATTGAGGGTCAGAGAGATTAAGTCACTTGCTGGAGGTCACACAGCTGACAGACACTGAAGGTAGAATTTGAGCCTGATACTCTAACCCCAGAGCTGCAAGTACAGCTGCTAGCATGCTCCAGGGAAAGGAAAGAACCCAGTCTCTAGAGGGTTGCCTGCCAGCTAAAAGGCCTCTCTCCCCTATCTTCTGGGATCTGGAGAGATGCAGGAAGGAGCAAAGAAACCATTTTATGGCTGTCTGGTTAAGTAAGGGAGGAACGGGCCTGAAATATCCCCAACTGACAGGAAGGACTCAGGATTAGCCCCTCCCCTAGGCCCACAAAGCATTCAGGGGACGATTTTCTCTCAAGATAATCCCCTAAGTGGCCTCAGAAAAAGCCCTGCAGGCTGCAGCCCACATGCCTTTGCAGTCAGCCCATGAGCAAAATGAATGCCTTGCTGTTCCCTGTAACTCCCTGGGCACCGACTGTCCCACTCTGAGGGGAAGGGGCAAAGGGCTCATTTTCAGCAGCCTTGGAGACTGGAGGCAGACACTATGAGCGGATGGGCCTCTTCCAACCATGCAAATCACAGGAGTCCCCAGCTTCCCAGCTGTGCGTGCCTGAAAAACAGGAGGGCCTGGCTGTGCCCAGCAAGCACTCTGCACGAGGAGACACACACAGATGCTCCACCCGTGGTCTTCTGCATCCACAGGCCACGCAGGTCCTCTGCGAGTGCCCCAGCAAACTCCACACCCAAGTGTTTCAGAGTCCTCCACTTCTTTGACTTCCCCTCCCCCCACGTGTCTGTAAACCCTCTCAGTTCTACTCTCTTGTCACCTTCGCCACCACCCTGCCTCGGGCCGACATCATCTCTTGCTCCAACCACCTGCTCACTGGTTCCCCCAGTTTTGCTCCCCTTCAATCTGCTGCTCTGAGGCATCCTGTTAAAACCAAGCCCTCCTCTGCTCAGAAGCCGTCACAGGACCACTCCATAGCCCCTAGGATGACAAAGGCCACAAGAATGGTTGGTCAGGATGCGGAGCGGCTGGAACCCTCACATGTGCTGATGGGAATGTGAAATGGTGCGACTGCTTGGGAAAGGAGTCTGGCAGTTCCTCCCACAAGGAACAAGAGTTACCCTATGACCAAGCAATGTACCCAAAAGGATCGAAAAGGCATGCTCTTCCAAAAGCATGCATGCATGACTCGTACTGGTCAAAAAGTGAAAATAACCCCATGTTCACAAACTGATAAATGGGCAAAGACTGACACGTGCATACACTAGAATAATATTTCATTCAACAAAAAGGAACAGAGTCCAGGCACATGCTGCAGTGGAAGAAGCCTAGGAAATATTATGCTAAGTGAAAGAAGCCAGACAGGAAAGGTCCCCTATGACATGACTTGATACGAAATGTCCAGAATAGCAAGTCCAGAGACAGGTGATTAGCAGTTATCTCCCTTTACAGAACTGGGGGAGGGGAATACGGGATAATGGATAATGTCCACAGAGGGCTTTTTGTTTTTAGGTGATGAAAATGTTCTAGAATTAGGTCATGGCAATGTTTGTCCAACATAGTGAATATGTATTGAAGACCGCTGAAGTGTACACTTTAAAATGATGGATTGTACATTAGGAGAATTACATCCCAATTTTTAAAAAACCTGTCATTTTCCAGCTGTGTCTGTAAGCAGCTAGCAGCAGCTCTCCTGCCCTGGACTCCCTGGACCCCATATCTTCTCTGACTGACCTCAATGCCTCTGCTCAGGCTCCACCAACCCATCAGCATGTCCTCACCCCAGGGCCTTAGCACCTGCTGTCCTTTACTGGTAAAACTTGTCCTTTACTTCTTGCCAGCCTTCCCCCGACTCTTCATTCTAGGTGAGGCTTCTGCTGACCCTGGAGCTTCCTGCTCCTGCTCCTCCAGCCCTGCTGCACTTTTCTCTTCAGCATTTATCACCAGCTAACACACTGCATGCGTTTTTCTTATTTCCTGTCATCTTCTCCATCAACATGAAAGCTGGACACCTCGGGTTTTAGTATCTTTTACTCACCTCTCCCTGGACCCCAGAATAATGCCTGGCACAGAGCAGTGCCTATGTTTCCAAAGATGGGTCTCCAACTCCCTCCCAGCCCACGTGTCCTTCTGCCCATGATTTTTTCATCCTGAAGGCCCGGGAAGGGTGGGATCCATTCTTCCCACCCAAATCTGTGCTGGCCTGTGACTTGCTTTGACCAGTAGAACGGGGTGGAAGCCACTGCTAAGTTTGAATGTGTCCCCACCAACTCGTGTGTTGGGAACTTAATGCCCAGGGCAAC